TCTCAGTTCGCGATTCTAAAAAATGTCTTGGCAGTCAATCAGGTCAGTTCACTACCTCCAGACTGACAGTTTGAACCGCAAAGATGAACTGACAACTGACTGATTGACTGATAGCAACTCTGCGTGAGAATCATCGGTCCACCGTACTCACGTGCTTCGGAAGGTGATCGGCAGTGCGTTTGACCTACAATTTGCGGTTCGTTAATTTATGCATAGTCACCAGGACGCTAAAGGCAGCTTGTTGAGGTGCTGCTGCTTGCATTGGTCACTGTCTGAACGAAAACTTGCAGGTCATGAGCGTGTTCTTAGCCTGTGATACTAAGAGACATAGCAATTAGCTGAGACTTCCGTCTGCCTGCTTTTGCAACTGAGATTCACACAGCAACAACTTCCAATCAAGAATAATAGCACGATTGACGTCTATAGATCTACACTGTACCCGATCTCATTCCGTGTCGATTTACAAAATCCCTATCTATCGTGTCAAGGAAGGCCTGCGAAGGTGTATCCTCAACGACAACATTGGTATCAGGTTGGATCAGATCGGCAGCAGGAACGGTGATTCCGTGCCTTGTTGCATACTGAACGATCTCTGAAATCCTGACATTCATGTCATGAGACACGTTTCGGGCATGCTGAACGCAATACGTGAGGAGCTGGGCGTCGCGGCCAGTGGGGTAATTGACTACGCCATCACCTAGATGATATAGAAAGTAGTCGTGTAGAGGTCGATCGGCTGCCTGCTTGTCCGTTTTCCCTCTCGTTGACATGTTCGAAGGAACATTCGTTGTGAAAGTGTGTGTCGGTACATCGGCCGGCCGGCCGTCATGATTGTGGTGGAATGCGGTACGGTGGTAGCTACGGGGACTTTGCAGTTGACGAGCGTAGGACTGCTAAGATGAGCCAAGCGCGCTTGTAGAGAGATTCCAAGACACTTACCATGAAGTCAGCGACTTCTTTCGGTGACCATGACTTTCGTATACGATCCCACAGCTCGTAATATACGGTCTGGTAAGGAAGGAACTGCTTCAAAGTCAGCAAATGCCTCAAACTAAGAGTGATGTGCGTACAGTCAACATCTCTTGTGCAGTAGTGACACAATTGATTAGAGTAGGATCAACCGTTCTTGGTGGTGCTACCCCTCTCATCTCGTGGCGATCATCGGAATTAGCTGAAGATGGAAGTGTTGCTAATGTCCTTCCTTCGATCTCAAGATGAGCACGAATTTGACCACGCGACATCGCAACACCCTTACATCCCCTACCAGAAACATTCACTGTATTTCTAGTTGAAAAGCGGGCCATCATTGCAGCGATGGGATCCGCCAAGGGAGCCTGGACAGCTACCGTTGCTGGAGTGACAGTTACGGGTACCGTTGGCTGAACTTGAGATGCTGCCGCCACTGCAGGTGCCGCTACCACTGTCGTTGTCGATGCCACAGGTGTATGGGGTGTGGCGGCCTGGGAGGCAGTGGGGTGCTGCGTAGTTGTATCTGATACAACTGTCTCAAGAACACGTCCCAGGTCTGACGATGAGCGGGATGAGAGAAATTGCTCAATCCTTGGTGCTGTATCATCGTTGCGGAACCGTTTGCGGGATTCAGTTGGGCGCTCCTCCACGTTGTTGTCTACTCCATATTTCCACTCTATCTGGAGGCCGTCCTCGGCTATGGCTGCTTTGCGCTTGAATGAATGCGCTGTGGAGGTAACTGTTGGTCCTCTGTGCATATGGACAGGATTCGGGACACGCGCGGTCTGCTCGAAGAACGCGACTCGAACTTCTTCTAGAGCTATCATCAGACAGCAGTTCGGAGTAGTGAGGAATATCTCCACCCACGCATCGATAAGTCGAAAGTGTGGTCCAGGTGTGAAGCAATACATCAAGTCGTCATCTTCCTGCACATTTCTGAAATGAAACCACTGAAATCTTGCAGAATACTTGATGACATCTTCAACTCGACGACGGTGGTACTCGTTGCTCTGCAATAGGTGGTCTTCGCGAAGGTTTCTCGGAGTGTAGTGTCCTGGCGTGTACGTCACCCTTGGATCGTTCCAGAGGAGGGTCGGGAGGGCCGGTGGGTGCTGGAGCGTACTGTCATGATAGAATCCGCTCGTCATCTGCGAAGTTGAATTGACGAAGTTTTGCATAGGCCCCATGCGAGGACCAAAGTGCAGAGCAGGCATAACGTTACTGTTTTGGTAAGCTTATATGGATGTTAGCAATCTTAGAAAGAAAGTAGGCTTGAAACTTACATTCCATTGCACTCGATATTTTAGACTGAATGTCGATGGTATTAAAGCCAATCGGTGTATAGTTCGGATAGGAAGTGTGTAGAAGTCTTTCAAGTGACGTTTAGGACAAGCGACAGGAAGAGCGTGAATCGCGGTCAATCTACACTGTGCGGAGGATGAGTGGATGTAAGGAGCTTTCAACAAGTTTGAGTTGATCGTGCGTTCACTGTTCGCTCGAACCACAGAAATCGTATGCTTTTGAGGACAGGGGAGAGCGGCGCGTGCAGGGTATAATGGCACTAACCACTCTCAGGAGTGAATTTGCATCAAGTGGAGAATCAACGATGATGCCTTGTGCTAACATCGTGACTCTGATCAGCAATTTACTGTGCAGGCGGAGCTTTCACGCAGACCTTGCGTAGAATAAGCGGAGTAAATAGCACTGTCTGCAACAGGAGAGAGAGAGACATTTGAGTGATATATACAACTGAAATGCAATATTCGTGAGGTATTGAATCGGTCAGAAGTCAGAGAAATAAGGAATCTCTAGACGGGTGTTAGAGACATGATATCCAAGTCATTTGCGTATGCGCTACGAGACGTCGCAAGCATTGTCACCACGTTATACTATAGCAAATACAACGTCAGTAAGCAGCAAGTAACAATGATGGACCTCAAAGTACACAAAGACTGCATATTCGTCAGCATAACGGTCGCAGCTCAATTCGTATGTCTTTCTCACTAGCAAACCATGACTGACATCTTTTGCGAACAACGATATCCATCTTATGGGTCTTGACCATTGAACTTGGTGCGGTAATCGTCCCTGATCGTGTCAAGGAACGCTTCTGACGGCAGCTGGTCCTCGAATGCCAGGTTTTGGAAGTTCATCTGATGATGTGCCGGCACGGTGATATTATATCTCTGCGCGTACGTAGCAGCCTGGCTCAGCCGAACGTTTCGATCGTGTGTGACGCCTCGAACGTGTTCGATGACTAGCGTTAACATCTGCGCCTTACGTCCGCGAGGTGGTCGGACCACTCCATCACCCATACTATAGAGGAAGTAGTCATGTAGGTCCTTGTTAGAGCCACGCGCCCCGCTGTCTGTGCTAGTATGGCGCAAAGAGGCAGTGGGAACATGGCCAGGGTAGCTTTCACCCCATTTCTTGGCCTTTGCGAAGTGATGCCCGATTTTCGATCGACCAAAGATCCCTGGTGTTTGGAGATCGTGTGCATAGTTCTACAAATAGTCTCAATCAGCTTATTGTTTCTTCGATCTCTCAGATATAAGTAACACTCACAATGTAGCGAGCTATGTGCATTGGCTGCCAATGCTCAATTGCCCGCAAACACATCTGTCGGTTGAGCGTGCATATGTTTGAAAAGTACTGGTTAGCTGTTAGTCCCTCGACGATAGATATAAACAATGGGGAATTATACTCACTGTGAAGTTCTCCTCGAGCGACGTTTCGAAAGGACAGCAGGTCACGTCGATTGATTCAGGCGTGCGGAAGTTAGACATTTCAGTGCCGAGTTCAGAGAATGCACTACTTGGCAGCTCCTGGATGCTTTTATTCTGGATCTCGACAAAGGCCCGAATACGCTCAGCACTCCAGGCTTTGTTCCCGTTGTCGGTTGGAGTTCTACTTCCCGGTCGAAACCCAGGGACAGTTATACCCCTTGCCTGGAGTAGTTGGGTGAATATTGGCGGAGCCGCCGGATTCTGCTCAGATGCAGCTGTACCATCGGGAACAGACTGCAAAGGGAAAATCGATACGCTATGCGCAGTCGATGTACCTGGTTGAGGGCCTGTGGTTGAGGCCACTGGTAACTGTAAATTTCCTTGAGGTATCTGCTGGCTGGGCTGGATGGGCTGGATGGGCTGTAACGGCTGGGGTGTGACGGTCAGGGATGAGGATTGCTGGACACCCAAATTTGCAGGAGCTGTAAACGACTGAGAAAATGGAAAAGGTCCAAACCCTGAGGGTGGAATTGGGAGCGGACCTGTGATCGGCTTGGCTGTCTCTGGACCCGCAAAGCGTGCCCCTCCAGGCTGGGAATAGCCATATTGGAAAGAATTTCCTGCCATCTGCGTAGCCGGAAGCATATCAAGAGGCATAGAAGCTTGGTTTCCTCTTTCTATGATCTCTGCAAAGCTAGGCCAATGTCCGGCAACGTTGTAGACCTGTTCCTCAAACGCCGTCCTTACCTCGAGTGGCGCGAGGTCAAACAGACGAGGGACGAATATGAAGAGCATAATCCACTCTTCAGCTAGAAGACCGTTTGGCAGCCAGTAACGGTGGCCAGCAGCTACCTCCATGGGTGTGGGGAGTACGAAGGTGGTTATGGAACTATATTCCCAGATACGCTCCAAGTAGTAGGTGATCTGTTGGCTTGTCATACATGTATAGTCGGCCTCGATGAAGGCTTTAGTGAGGATAGGCTGAGCTGTCGGGACATGGGGTTCACCGATGAAGCTGTTCCAGGAATCGAGGTTGGATGCCATGGTATCAGACGGCGACTGGTCGATTGATCGAGTTGAATCGGCAATGGCTAGTGTTCCTTCGTATTACAGTTGCCAACTCAACGCTACGTAACTTTCGATCGAGATAGTATAGGTGCGGTGGGTTGAAGGTGAGCTATATAACTCCAACCAGGAAAGAAATACCAGAGGAGCGTATGCTCGAGACAAGGATCTCATGGTGAATTCCATCCGCAGCCGGTACTCAGGTCGATGGCACATTACTCTGTGCGAAGGAATCAGAGTGAACCAGTACATCGTCGATCGACAATGCTTGACAACCTCCCTGAGGGTAGCAGGTATGACCACTAGGATGAAACCTTCACATTCACTGCGCTGACCTTCTGAACTTCTGATAAGTGACTTATCAAGTTTGCTTGTGCGTTGTTTTCACGACAATTGTTATACATTTGCGCGTGTGATGACTCAATTTCCATACCGTTCTGTATTGCCATTTCTTCACCCAGCTCTTGATACCCATAGGTTCTCGCGCAAAAGGCGGCAAGTTGAATCCACAGGGTCGCTCTTTCATAGTTTGAGGTGAATATGATTAGAATGTTTCCCTAATCAGGTTGGACGCGCGGTCTGGCGCGCCTGGGCAGTTTGAGATCTAGAGGCGACTCCAGAGCACAGACGACGCGACTGGATCGAACGGACCCTAGATCGTTGCTAGTAAGAACAAAGCCGCTGCGAGTCCACTCAAACTACTGCTGTTTCTGCAACACTGCGAAGGCCAGGACTACACCGATAAGGCGTAATCGCAATACTCCGCGACGACGGTTTCAACCAGCTCACCTACTCGGATCACTCGAACGGGATGTCTCGGGTCACCCCAACCTCTGACAGCTTCTCAGGGCAAAGCATCAGAATATACGGAGTGCGAGCTCGTGGAACAACAAACACAGCCGGTATGATGCGAACAATACATGCCTGTCTTTTCAATCGTTTCTGACAACACGCAGGGCGAACGCAGATCGAGGGAAAACACCATACCCAAGCTAATCCTCCCGAAATCTTCGTCGTGCTCGGAGCCAAAGAGGCTTCGCTCTCCGCATCAACATCGTCATCATCTCGCACCGTCCGTCCGACCGGAGTGAAAGAACTCGAACATGCTCCCCGGCTTGACGAATGCATTGCGCGGCTGCTCAGTGAGATGGAGGACGTCAAGGTGCCATCTCCAAGCTTTCTTACAACGCGTATTCGGGGTGAAAACAACGATAGCAACGGCCTCGTTTCAGCACTACGTCTCTATCCCATCCAGGAAGTCCTAGTCCGCTATATCTCCATGAAAGATCTCGAAGCGATTGCCTGTACGTCTTCAGCACTTTCAAACTCTTTGAACTTAAAAGAGACTAGGCATTTCTGGAAGTTCAGATTTAAGAATGGAAGGGGTGGTAGTTCATGGAAGCGTGTGAGGCATGACGCATACTTCAAGGCTCTCGAAGACATGCCCGAGCCTCGAAAACGGAAGCTAAGCGGGGACGAAGAGCTTCCTTATGCACCGCCGTGGCGCCCTCAGTCGCGAGGACCAAAAAGAATTCAGGTAGCACTTGGACGTATGTAAATGGACGAGACCTTGGGAATGAGTTCTCAGACACTTCCTAATGTTGGCGTAGGAATGTGGCGCGCGAGCATAGCGATCGATAGTAATCCATAGTAATCGAGTGTAAAAATCCTTTTGGGTGTAACCGCTCAAGCCACAATGCATCATGCATGCTGTTTATCCATTGAGGGCACACTGAGCAGAATGAGCGTCAGGAAAGGACACCTTGGCCGGATATCCCCCGACCTGCCCAAAGTCCCCGTGGCTTATATCCTGCTCATAACCATGCCTTGGGCCAGTCTTCCATTTCGCAACAACTAGGTCAGCCGACTGCGCAGCCACCCCAAACTTCAACTCGACCGACGAAGGGCCCTTGTCGTCGACAGCCGGAAGACGACGAAAATTGGAACGGGGTCATATGAACTCAAGAAAGACCGCTGGAGAACGTCGCGAGATAAATTGCTATCTGTGGTGACGGAGGCTTTGAGGATGGTACGACAGCAGCTTCAGACACGTGCGAGGTACAGAGAAGGGTATCGGCTACAAGAGACATCGTACCAAGCAGTGTAGCAATGGTAGAATTAGTAGTCTACACAGTGCATACGCATGTCTCGCACAATCCAACTTGGATGTGAGACCAACTGTGTTTTCTCTTGCGCTAGCCTTCGACGTCGGGAGATAGTTTGCTGCACCATAAATTGGGTTCGAAGAGAGATTCAAACATGGAGTTTCTCAAATATCTGCCAGAAATCAAGATAGCCAGCTCATCCCATCGTGCACCAAATGTGGCGTCTGTTGGCGTGGCGGATATTGCGTGCGGACCCTCCGCTCCTGACGACTCTCTGATGAGCACTGACCTTGTTACATGACCACATCCTGACCAGGTGAATTATTTACTTCCAGTAGGGTCAACTACCAAAGCAATTCATTGTCGGCCTCTTGTCTTTGTATGTGACGCAGCGATCCTGCCTCAGACCCAGTCGAAGCTCATAGGAGATCGTTCAAGATGCACTCCATTGCTAGCTCTTCCTGCGCCTCTGTTCCTATACTTCCGCATGCGCGAGACGATGTCTCTGTCGCACCTTGAGCTGAGTATCCACGATGCTTCATGTTCTAAGTCCTCGAACCTCGAAGGCTGCCCAGAACTCGATTCGCGGCCACGCGAGACAGCCACAACGTCAAAACCTCGACTGGTTACTATGAGACGCTCAGTTGCGAAGTCACCACAAGACAGTCGAATATCGCACGCTGGTTGAAGAGGCGGAATTGCGATGGTTCATAGGGAGATGATGATGAGGGAAGAACAAAGAAATGATGACGCTGTCGCGACAGCCGAAGCCGAGCCATCTCCGCAGGTATCCTCGGCGCCAGTGGAGCCGCTTGTCTCGACCGAATCGTTACACACGCACACACCTATCAGCAACACCGTTGCAGCCATTCATCGACTACACTCAACGCGAGCACTGATTGAAAAGCACATAAGCCCCTGCTGACCAAAGCGACTTGATGCAACAACTCGGCAGTAATGACTCCGCACCGGACCAGCCGTACGCATTCGACTGCACATGGCGCCCATGCTTGCCGAGTGACTGCTTCGCACTACGCGACATCACTATATCCGCTCACGATTTTCGTTCTTCAGTACTGTACGAGATCTGGTATAGATGACATGGCTACTAAATAGCCATCTGGATCCCTATGTTCCTGACCATGTCCAAGAAACAGAATGGTTCTCAATCCTGGTTTTCGTCGCTTGAAGAAGAACGGCTCCCACTCTACAGGTCCTGCAGTAACGGCAAAGCACCTTGCCGCTGATTGCTACTCCTTGGTATCCATACTCTCATATGTCTAGAAAGAGCTCGGGAACATAATGTTTCATTCGCGTGCAGTGGCTGCTACGCAAGGCGGCTCCTCTGCCATCTTGAACGCTACTCATGTTGCACCATACACGATACATCCACATGCAGCTCAGTCAACTGTCGCGAAACCTCTTCACCATTACCATAGCCCATTCTGATTGGTTTGCCTAACTGTATGCTGCGCAGATCCGTCTAATTCCAGGGATACGTCTCGTTGCACGGACCCTCAACACATAGCCTATACGCTCTTCCTTAAGACTGTGGGGATCTTGATCGGCATCAAGCAGAGCATCGCATACTCAGAACGGCTTCTCTCGCATGTTGATGCCGTACCATGAAGATAAACAGGCTGCAATGCTATCCTCTTCATCCTGTCAGGACATCTCGTTCTACCGTCGCAAAAGAAGTCATACCCATGGCAGCATCTCGTCCTTAAACTGGAGAAGTGGGAGTACCACTCTTGAAGTGTCCCAAAACTACTGCTGTGGTAGTCTACCGGCGAATGCATACGACGGCTGTCACGGCCACTGGTTTACACGCACGTGGGGTTGTTCAAGCTTCCATCGAAATGGTCAAAAACCTGAAATACCCCATCTCATCAGACTCAAGACGATCATACCATCTGGAGCCAACTCTCTTGGTGATCACTATAGTTCGCTGTCGTTCAACATCCACGCGAATGGATATCATAGACATGATTTCCTTGCGACCGTATGGCATGCTATGAACGTCTTTACGCTCCCCGGGTTGCCACATGCAAATCCTGGCAAGCACAAAGCCGATCTCATGTCTCCGAAAAAAGCCAGGTTACGACAGCTCAAAACGTGCGACTGCCCACGAATCAGTATACGCACTCTAAGCATCTCCGATACTTTCTTCTCAGCGATGCTCAGATTTGCCATCTTGTGTATCTTTGAGAGCCAAGTTGAACTTCGCAAATGCTATCTGTCTGCAACGCCCGGAAAGTCCTCGCATACTCCAATATGCGCGAAAGAACTCTTCGTTTCTTGACAGTCGCTCCTTGTCCACGAGTCTTGTCTCTCGGCCGCAAAGGCAGGGCGACATGTCCTGATCGCACCATTACCTTTGTAACCGGATCTCAGAAGCGCTCTTGTACTGAATGCTTCCATGGCTTGATGCAGGTTGCACTTGGTGTCTTCCGGCCATGTTACAGCATGATTTCTCTTCCTATAGGATGTCTGATAGGATATGCGTCCTTTGTCTCCTTTGATGCTTTGTAGACTGCTCGTCAGGCGTTCCAGCGATAGGTGTGCACTACTGCGCCTCTACTTGGGAGCATTCGCCTTGCCAGCCCTATTTCGATATTGTCGTTGACACGTTGATCGTTCGCATACCTGTGTCGCTATGGTGCGGAAGAGGCCGCGCAGGTATCCGGAACCCGCATCCTTCGAAGGACATTCGATCTATGCCATAGCTCATCGTCGGTCTGCAATAATCGCTTCCCTGGACTACCAGCATTTGGGTCTCGTCGCCAGCTAGTGTGCGTCCACATAGGGTTGATAGGACCAAACATCTTTGACTCGCAAGCTCAACAACAGATCAATGTCTAACCACTATGTCAGCAGCATGATAGAGAGCTCTAGGTAATCTCGCCCCTGAGGGTACGAGGCGTGCGCAAGTTCGTCGGTATCAGACCCTGTTGGCGATCGAGGTGGCGGTGGAGGAGAGGATCGTCAAGGAAGTCAGCGTCTCGACGCTGCAATGCTATCAGCTTTACCTAACCATGGCCATACGATGGACATACCGCCGTACAGCTATTCTCGTGTGGTTCGTGGATCCTCATTGCCTTGCTTGTGGCCTCCCTGTTCCTCCCTTTGTCGTGAAAGTGAGCATAGCTTCACACAGACGCTAAGCGAAAGCTCCCACGACTCCCGCCTACGTGTAAGTACCCCACCAACTTAAGGGTCTGCCTCTCCGCTTCTCGAATCTCAGCTACTGGAACTGTGATATCAAATGGGTGCTCCTCCCTTCGCAGATATTCGCCTGCAATCTGCCACGATGGCCGCCAACAACAGCGATAATCTCAAGCCCAAGCCTGCCACTTCACACATCAACACGGGCTACTACTATGGTAGCGATAGTAACAACTCCGAGGCTGCGAAGAACGACCAGGCAGACGAAGAAAGCGACAGTGACGGTGACGGCGACGAGCACGTCCGAGATCTAAGCGTTGGCAGCCACAGTAAGTACACGAAAGCGTAAGCTTCACGGGTCACTAACGCAGGATCGATAGACCCCGGATCATGGCTGGCGTATAACAACGAAGGCAGAAAGCTCAAGGTCGAGCTGTCCATGCATCTCAAGAACAAGGACAGGAAAGAGGCAGCACGCGTTCAAAAAGAAATCGATGATCACCTTCGGCGTGGTGAGGTAGACATTAGCCAGCTTGATCCTGACACTATAGCATGCCTAGAGGCAATTGACGGTCCGGAACCTCGACGCGCTCCTCGTGGCGCTGTCCGTCTCCCGACTGAGCGTTCTGCTACCCCTTTCCATGCAGGCTCATCCCAGGCTCTTGTACTTACGCCATATTCTTTACCACTATCCCTCAACCTCAACCGCATGAACCCTCCACATATCGCCGATAACGGAATACTAGAAGCAGGCAGTACACTCGCCCTGAGAGGTCTCAACCGGGCCCTCTACTGCAAAGCATCACCAGTCAATCTGGACTACAAGACACTACTCAATTTTGAGATGACTCTGCTTGAGATGGCCACTGTAAGCTCATATGCTCGTTCGTCCCGTCCACTCTCTACACCTACTAATTTGCCACCATGTAGTATATTCCGTTGTCATTCTTGTGGCTAGGTGGCTTCCTCTCGCGCGTCAAAGCAGCCAAAGGGGGATGCACGGTTGTTGCACAAATGATGGTGAGCAAATCCAGGAGTTCTGAACACAGAATCATGGTGCTAATTCTGATAGCTCTGGGCGAGAGCCCTTGACAATGGTACCGAGTTAACAAACAAGCTCGGAAACCTTCGCAGTACAATGCAACACAAGCTGAAGAATTATGGAACGTCCAACAGCGCCGACAAGACTGCCTCCTCTTGGGCCCCTACAAATATGGTGACCACCAGAGCCATGTCAAACTTGACTGCGGACACATCCCTCTTGCGACTTCGGCACGGGGTAACTCGCCCTCCTCAAGGTCAGCATCGTGGTCGTCTCACCATCGCCATCGAACATGCACATACCTGTGGCCATTGGGGTGTCATGCTAAGCGAGGTCGAACGGTATATTGAACACTTCAAGCTGAAAGTACCTAAGAGACTCACTGCGGACGCCGACAAGCTGGCTATCAAGGATTTCGAGAGCATCTATGAGGCGACATCTCACTAAGAACATCCCACGAGCTCTGCACATGCGCATTCTTGGACTCCACGCCCATTATATAGGGCAAGCTGAGATCACTGATTATGCGATGTACGGCATAGATGTTTGTTTACGACGGAGACGTAACGGCCAGTCAGGTCATAGAAGCCACCACTTGGTGTGGATGTGTTCACGAAAGAGATCTTAATTCGAGTTTGTATTCGCAAGCGAGGCGTCTAAGGTCTGGCTGATCACTTGGCTGGCAGGCTGACAAAGATTCTGGTTAGGTATAATATGTGCCTCGGAGTTCTATACCCATATCTTTCATGATCATAGTTCGTATTCATAACAGATGAGCCCGAAATAGATTCTCGTTCCTGTTGTCGTGTAATGAAGCCGAAAACCTATGTTGGCGTCTCGTGTTAGCTTTTGAGGGGCAAAAGGAAAGATTGTCAGTTGTTGTGAAGGTGTCTGGATCCGGGCACATCTCGTCCGTTTGGGGTTAGCGTATCTGTCCGTATAGCGATTACATCGTCATTTGCGCTTCACGATTGAGGTGGTTTTGTCTTTCCTACCCTCGGTTCAATTTGCCATTCCATAGCGCATGTTTCTCTATCTCGGCTGCATGCATGGTGCACATCAGATTGGGCACTAGATAAGGCTTTGCGTTGTCCAACCGTGCCACCCAACGCCTACTGTACGGCAGAGCGACCACGCCGCACTCGCTATCAAGGCGTGCAGTGCACATACCTGGCAAGGCAGTTTCGACATGCTGCGCACGCACGATTTTGCTTTCGCACATGATGACTTGGCCTGCGACAGCTGCACATCGATGCGCTCAGCGATGCCAGTCCATCTGAACCGTACCTACGTATTCTCGTGGCATCTCTCTCAACAAGAGCTTGAAGGTTTTCACTGTGTCTTGTGAAACGCGGCTGGGCACGAGCAAGATAAGCTTTGCGAAGGTTTAAATGATCCCAGGGATGGTACTGTGCCGCACACGGCGATGCCGGCAACATACCAACAATTATCATGCACGAAGTGACCAGCTCGCGTAGATATAGCCAAATGTCGTCAGCTGTCCGTCAGTAGATCTCCATGCAAGATAATCAGCATGGCAGCCTACCTCCAACTGCATACAACACAATCATGTCACTGTCCACGCCGGCACTCACCATCCAACACTGTACGGTCCGATGTTGTCAGCACACGACTTCAACCGGTGGACTCTCATCGGCGCATTCGCGGGATGACATGTAACGGAACGACTCCTCCCATCTTTTGCATGAACATGGGAAATGCACCACTATTAACAACAGACGCGGCGCGGTCTGTTGACGAGCGAGCCGTCGTTTGTTTCCAACAGACGTGCGACATAGAAGCCGTTTCAAGGAGTGGACATGGGTCAGGAAAAACAAACGAGCCACGCCCAACAAACAGCCTTGCTGGCCTCGTTTCCAAGGAACACGTTCGCTGACTCTTTTCGTGCTCGGACCTCAGATCTATAGCAACGTTGGGTCTAGCCTTACCGCATGAAGACGGCACGGTTTCAGAACTTCATGCGCGCCAGCTGCGCCTGTACGCCAGACGCCGCTTTGCAGCGCGCTGTTGGTGTTATGCGCGACGCGACTATTGCGGTTGGATGAGAGCCGCGACATCCAACACGAAAGAACACAAATTCTCGCCTATGAAACTGCGGATAATACTTCGCCTTGCTGCAAAAGCCTATTTTGCGGCAGTGACAGCTGGAGTCCGGTGACATTTGGTGGCGGATATTCGCTGCCCCGCGCTGCCCCTGGCCATCATTTTACGGCGTCGAGGGCGTCGGACCCTTGGCGTGGAGAGACCTTGCATGTCATCCCCCTGGGTAACATATAATTGCGGCCACGGCAGGTTGGTGATCGGCATAAGCATATACGCCTCTGTGTCCCCTTGGTGCCTTTCCTTGTCATACAAACATTGTTTCTCTCATATAACGGCTTTATTCGCTTCTTAACAGACATCCATTAACCCCCGGATACGATTGCATATATCAACGATACGCTTCTCTTCTTTAGATCGAATCGCAACTTCCATTCTCGCTATACGCAAATCTCACACTATGTCCTACCAACCACAACCGCCTAGTGGGCTTCCCAGCTCTCCACGAGCAAACCGCCAAATGCAGATGCTCTCTCCACTCGACACATCATTCCCCTCGGATTCATCGCAAACACCTTCGCCATACTCCAGCACATCCGAGAAGCAATCAGAAAAGGCCCGCGACATCTTCGCCGATGCTACTATTCCTCTCAGCCCAGCATCGTCAACAAGCTCGACTAGGAAAGCAAACCCTTACGAGGGTCTTGAACCCCGGAAGCGTAGCGGCCTCGCGCGACTCTTTTGCTGCCTTGGCCGCGAAGAGCGCGCACGACGAAGGATGAACAGGAGTTTGGAGTTTGAGAAAGTCGGCGAAGACTGCCATTGGTCGGAGTACTAAGGATACGAATTATTCGACAACATATTCGATGATGGAGATTTCGCGGCTTGCCATAATCCGCATGCATATCCGTTGCGATCTGAAACACGACATAACGGGACGTCTACCCACCGAATCTCCAAACATCTGACAGCTCGGATACCAAACAGACACAATCGGATTCCCTGGTGTCCGAGTCACGAAACAACTTGCGATACAAGAATTGATCGCATGCTCAAACACTCACCACACAAACATTGTCTTCATACTGTCACTGCGACGTTTCTTATGTTTATATTTACAACATATTCTCGGGCTTGAATTTTCCGGTCTTTCTTATGGCATTGCTATTGTCTGGATAGACATGCAACTGCCACTGTTTCTCTATCTGTTCAGCGTTGGTGTTGGGGTCATTTCTGCTAAAACCGGTTCACAATCAGAGACCATTTAACGCGCAAGACTGGGAGAGCGAGCGCAATCTCGTCATACAAGACGAAGGCAAATACAAAATCATTATCATGCAATGTCTGCGTACTGGTCCGTCGCGTCGCTTATCTCGTGCTTTGCTCCCCTTTCCCACTAACTGCCTGATCAACAAACTCTTCAAACTGACACGCATCCCTCCCTAGCACCCACTCCAACACATTGCTGTTCCCCACCAGCCCTCTCGCATCATAGAACAAAATCATCCTTTCCGCCGTATCTCTACTCCGCCTATCCGCCCGCGCAGCATCTTCAAGCTTAAACAACCTCTTCAGCAGAGCATCCACCGCGTCCCCGAACGCCTTCTTCTCGACCATCACCTGTTTACCAATCTTTCCCTCAACGACACGCAACGCCTCTCCAAAACTGATAGGCTGATGCGTCGACGTAAGCGGATACTGCGCATAAAAATGCTTTTCCCGTTCCTCCGCCACAACCTTGAACACTTCAGCCAAGTCACTTAATGCAAGCATCGAGAACCTATTTTCCGTACTCCATAGGGCAGGATACACCGGTTTGTCCTGTTGTGCCAGCATAGCGACAGGTATGTTATCCATAAATGTGCTCGGCTGAAGAATAGTGTATGGAATGCCAGATTCCATTATCCATTCCTCGACAACTCGTTTATAGTCATGATTCAACATCTTACTGAACTGGCTGTTCAACACGCTACTCAATATGAAATGCTTGAACACCCCGTTGCCATTAGAGTAGGCAGCAACGGCGGCGTCAATCATCATTTTGCCGATTTCTGTTTCGTGGGAGTGGTAGGAGGGGCCTATGTGGATGGCTGTGGTAACATTTTCGAGGAGCGAGGCGCAGTCTGAAGGGGAGTAAAGGTCGGCTTGGATCACTTCAGCACGGGGGTAGTCTTGTTGGAGACGGGCTTTGGAGGAGGATGAGTGGACGGCTAGGCGGATGTTCTGCCACTCGGAGAGTAGAGGGAGGAGTTTGCCGGCTTGTTTACCGGACGCAGAGGTTATTAGGAGACGGTCTTTTGAGGGGTCTGCAGGCATAGTCGCTGTTGTGGGCTGTATGAGACAAGACGGGTGTGGTTCGAGGGCATTGAAAGAGCTGAAGTGCAGTGCTTATACTCGTCAGATGGAGACGCGTCTTGACGTCACATTCTTACGTTCTTACGTGGTGTACGTGTCCGACCTGTCCATTGGGTACCTAGGTATTGGGGCAGCGCTCACGGGAAGAGTATACGGCATTGTTCAAGGACACAACAGGACAGTGGTGTCGTCTAGCCATAGACTTTGCTGCCCTGACATTCTACAATTCCCTAAACGTGCACCTAACTGGTCAAAAGATACTTTTGTAGTATATGCAAGACCCATAGTAGAACAATAAATCAACATGAATGCATCCCATTTGCTGAACTTTGAAGTCATCAGGTGGATTAAGAGGGTAACTTGCGAATGTCAACAACAACATGCAGGTGTACTTCGCAGACAGCTTGAAGCACCCGTCCCCCAGACCCGTGTGCGGGGAACGTGCTCTTCGACATGGAATTTGCATTGAAGGTGTCTGCTCACGAACCAGTCGCATTCGTTGCTCTTGCAGCTGACGTACTAAGCATAGATGCCCTCGGGCGCATCCGTCGCCGATGCCGAAGGGCAAAGGTCTGGACACGGACACGTTCGTACGAACTGTGGCTCTGTGGCTGACTCGAGCCTCTTTAATCACATGATGCTCAGAGCCTCATCCGTCACATGATTAGTATGAGGCTCTTGATGACCTTGCGCGTCGCGTTTCCCAAGCTCGGTCGAGAAATCCCTTCCTCGGCTCCTGAGCGAAATTGCCGGCTCGTCGCGCCCGTGTTTAGTGGGGAGGTCAGCGCGGGGCACCCCAGAATCGCGATGCTGAAGACTCCGGATGGATGGCAATTCGCAAACAGGCTGGAATGGAAAACGTGGCCTTGGTGTCTTGGATGTTCTGGCACATGGTGCAAAAGATATAAAGACGGTCGCATGTGCTCATCCGGTCAAACGGCCATAAGCCTGCAGGCATCACGTCACCGGCAGCGTCTCTAACCTTAGTCCGACAACCTCGGCTCCTTGAATTCACAGCTCCACCCTTGTCATCGCAGCCAGCGCGTGCTCATTTGGCCTCGGATCTGCTGAAGCTAGGACTCTTGATATCATATTCTGTCATTTTTCCCCTTGTTACTTTACATATCTTCATTTGTGATGTTCAGCAGAGCTGCACGCGCGCGAGCACCCGCCTCGATACTCCGCAGACCTATTTTGAACCAGTCCGCCTTTGCAAAGCCCAGAGTATGTTGTTGCTGCAGTGTAAACAGACGTATAGTGGGGGGATGTATGCTAATATTCGACGCGCATAGATTGTCGCAATGGCACCAACAAGGAAACAGTCGAGTTTGCCAGCGGGTAAGTGGACACGCTCTATCCACATGCTTGAGACATTTCAGAGCTGACGACCATGTCTGCGCAGGCTACAAGGAGGACCACAGCAAAGGCGCCATGCTGCGCTTTGAAGATTCTCTCCCACGACTCCCCGTTCCCACACTAGAGGAAACCGCAAAGCGATACCTCAAGTCCGTTCACCCACTCCTCTCCCAGAACGAATTCGACGCGACCACAAAAGCCGTCAACGAATTTGTAGCCCCTGGTGGTCCCGGAGAGAAACTACAGAAGCGCTTGGTGGAGCGGAGAGAGGACCCCAAACACAGGAACTGGATCTACGAGTGGTGGAATGATGCTGCCTACATGGCCTACCGCGACCCCGTCGTGCCATACGTCAGCTACTTCTACTCGCACCGCGATGACAGGAAGAGGCGAAACCCGGCAAAGCGTGCTGCTGCCCTGTCAACAGCCGTGCTCGAATTCAAGAAGATGGTCGATGAAGGCAGTCTGGAGCCCGAGTACATGAAGAAGCTCCCCATGGCCATGAGCTCCTATGAGCACATGTTCAACTGCTGCCGTGTCCCCAAGAAGCCATCAGACACCAGCGTAAAGCACTCTTACAAGGAGAACGCGCACATCATCGCCATCAGGAAGAACCAGTTCTGGAAGATTCCCCACGAGATCAATGGAAAGCAACTCAACACTAGCGAGCTCGAGCTCCAGTTCAAGCGCGTTTACGAGAAGGCTGAAAAGGCACCCGCAGTCGGCAGCCTCACGTCTCAAAACCGTGATGTCTGGTCAGACGTATACCCCAAGCTCAAGGCTGCCTCGAGCGTCAATGCCGCAACACTTCAGGAGATTGAAGCCGCATCATTCATCGTCTGCCTCGACGACGCTTCTCCCGTTACTCTCGAAGAGCGCGCACACCAATATTGGCACGGCGACGGCGCAAACCGCTGGTACGACAAGCCCCTCCAATTTATTGTCAACGAGAACGGCACATCAGGTTTCATGGGCGAGCACTCCATGATGGACGGTACACCCACCCACCGCCTCAACGACTATGCGAACCAGCAAATCTTCAGCAACGCCCTTCCCTTCGACGACCCCAACGTACGCTCCGACCTCCCTAACCCGAAACCCCTTCGATTCGAGATCAACAAGGAGCTGCAACAGGACATTGCCGACGCGCAAGCACATTTCGCCAGCCAGATTGGCGCACACGAGCTCAGAGTACAGGCATACCAAGGCTACGGCAAGGGCTTGATCAAGAAGTTCAAGTGCAGTCCTGACGCCTACGTACAAATGATCATCCAACTTGCATACCACAAGTTCTATGGCAAGAACCGTCCTACCTACGAATCTGCTGCTACCCGTCGCTTCCAGCAAGGCCGAACAGAGACATGCAGGACCGTCTCGGACGAGAGTGTCGCTTTCTGCAACGCCATGGCCGATGCTGACGCCTCACCTGAGGAGTGCCAGAAGAAGTTGAGAGCGGCGCTTGATGCACACGTCAAGTACATTTCGGATGCTAGTGATGGACGTGGTGTCGACCGTCATCTTTTCGGACTGAAGAAGTGCCTCAAGGAGGGTGAGGAAGTACCTGCTCTGTACCAGGACCCAGCCTACTCATACAGCTCCACATGGTTCATTTCGAGTTCGCAGTTGTCAAGCGAGTACTTTAACGGTTACGGATGGTCGCAAGTCATCGACGACGGATGGGGCATCGCCTACATGATCAACGAGAACAGCATTCAGTTCAACGTCTGCTCAAAGGGACTCGGTTCGGTAAGTCAAGTCGTTTTCGGAACAAAGGGAATGCAAGCTAACAACAAACAGGAAAAGATGAGCTTCTACCTCAACGAGGCCGCCGGTGACATGAGGGATATCATGCTGCCCACTTTGGACGCGGCAAAGGCAAAGTTGTAGGCATATTACGCCTGCGTGCTTTGTTATTTTTACGGCCATAGACTTCTTCATATGCCAAATATTAACATTACAATTCCATTCTCGGACCACATCCGTGACCCTGTTTGCCCTATTTTCTTATCGTTGTCGTACCAACTAAACACCATATACATCGTGATCATACTTTACACTTTATTTTCTCCAACAGCTACATCAACCACCTCTCCCTCTTTTTGCTGCGTCTGCGGCTTCGCCAGCCTCGCATTCTTCCTCTTTCTCCACCACACCCACGCCAGATACCCCGCCATCCCCACTCCCAACACGACACCAATTGCGATACCTGCCTTCGTCTCCGGATTATCCGTATCATGGTTCGCCTCTTCTGCAGCCTCAGCGTCTTGCCTTTCATCTTCCTCTTCTCTCGCCTCCCGTGCCCGCTGCTGTCCACTGGGCACTCCACTGGGATTTGCAGCCGAGAACACATATTGTTCGCGCGTATGCTTGCCTTTGGGCTGTGTCGCGAAGAAGACCTGACTATACGCTGTATGTTCCTGAATGTCACTATATGATGTCGACGACGGCGGTAGTGTACCCGATGTGAGGGCTAGAGCACATGCGAAGAGCATGGTGTCGGGTTGTTTGTGGAACCACATGTCGAGTCCAATATCTGCAGGGCTATCAAAGAAGGAGGGGTACAACATGGCTATCTCGATGCTGGCGGTTGTGTTGTCCTGTGAATAAAAGTTATCTTCGTTTGTGATTTCGGTTATATTATCCTTGGTGTTCTCGCGGTAGACCTCGTCTTCGGCGTTGGCCCAATCGTTGCAGCGTGATGCTGGTGACGGGGTATCGTTGTCAGGGTCAACCTCATAGGGCTCGAGGCAAACCAAACAAGTTAGCATCATCGATAGTGGTTCGACGTTACTTGTATCCATGTTGGGGTTGGTGGTCCATGTTGCTTCGATGAGATCTTCTGCTTCTGGCATAGTCTTGAGTGAAGACGCATCGCCCCAATACTGAGTATTTGGATCGTGTAGTGCGTGTTCCAAGTATGTCTTCATAGTTGCATCGGAATTCAGTCCAGTCAAATTCCCTGTGCCAGGAAAGGTGAACATCAACGGTCCGGTCTCGAGGGGTTTAGGCTGTTCAGCATCGATCGTGCTCTGCGGTTGTCCATCGCGATAGGTAGCGTTCCAGAAGTTGGGCGAACCGGTCACATCGCCCATGCTAAGGATGATGTCTGATATGCTCGTTCCCTCGTCCTGACCGTTTTGTTGCATCTGGAAAACACACGCGAAGTCGCGGTTGCGAATTGCCTTCTGTGGATCTCCTGGTCTTCCATCGTTACCGGTCGGCATTTCGACATCTGACCCCATTCCTTCTCTTGCTACACCAACATCAATCCATACTTCCGTGGCATCTGCTTGATTGAAATCCAGACATGCATGCGAATCCTGATCACCTTGCACAGGGCATGTAAGACAGTAAACGCCCAGGTTTAGGCCCTCAGTAGTGTCGATGCCAGACCAAGAGGACTGGACAATGTCTTCGCCGTGCATATATCTTGGTGCATCAGTATCGCTCTGGTATGTCGATAGGTACTCTTCGACAGCGTATCGGGTGGTGTTGTAAGTATAGGATGCTGGAAGTGTCGAGTTAGTAGGACCACCGTAGGGAAAGGTCCAGCTTATTTTCGAAGCGATGAATGCCATCTTGCCGCCTCTCGTCTAACAGGGTAAGTATGTTGTACAGTGATAGTACGACTGTAACAGTGCGAGGCGTAGGTGTAAGAGGCTACAAATTCCAACACCACATGGCATGTACATCGCGCGGGACATGTTTCAAGAAATCCAATAGAATCGCTATCGCGTGCGAGAGTCCTCGACCTTGATTTTCTATCGTAGGATCCGGACGAGAGAATGTAGTTAGCAATTCTCGCTTCTGGCTGTCCACCCACGTCACCCAAAGTGAGACTGCCTGGCACTGAGAGCTTGGCAGCTTGATGGAGATAAGCCTTGGAGCGTTCCGCTCTATTAATGTTGCAGCGTGACCGGTTACTGTATCGAACTTGGCGCTGTCCGTGCATTTTGCAGACGTTGAGTCGTGGAAACGGGATGCTTGAAATCGCGTCAGTACATGTGCAAGGTAGTCACAGCTAAGCGACAACCGGCTGGAGAATCGTAAGGAGTTGATTTTGGCATGCTAAGGTACAGATCAAAGTTTACGACATGGTAACTAAACCCAGTCCAATCCAGAACCCGTAGCTCACGTCATTATTATTGTACACACTCATAAATTCTTTTAGGAATTTATGGGTTCTGCTTGACCCACTCAACACCCTTCTTGATGTTCTTGGCGAGGTCAGCGACGCAAGCGTCGAGGAGGCTCTGCTCGTGGTCGGTGATCTTGCCGACGGGGTGGATCTTCTCAACACCGTTGGGGCCGAGCTCAACGTTGGTGGAGAAGTAGTCGCAGCCCTGGTCCTTGAACAGAGGAGAGTCGACGAAGGTGGGCTCGATGACGTTCTTCTGGCCCTGGGCAGCCTTGAGGAGCGACTCGGCGAAACGGGCACCGGCCATGGCCATGGAGAGAGTGGCAGAACCAGCACCGTCCTTGGCCTGGACGACCTCGTCACCACCGAACTGGACACGGTGGATGTAGTTCTTGAGCTGCTCGCCCTCAAGGTTGTAGCCGGATTGGGAGAGGAGGGGAACGATGGTAGCGCCGGAGTGACCGCCGATGACAGTGATGTTCTCGGTGGCGGGGTCGGTGTTCTTCAGCTGGGAGATGAAGCGAGAGGCACGGACAACGTCAAGGGTGGTGACACCAAAGAGACGCTTGGGGTTGTAGACGCCCTTGGACTTGAAGACCTCGGCGGTGATGGGGACGGTGGAGTTGACCTAAAACTGTCAAAATTCGGATCTGCGCCAAAGCGATTGAAATGAACGTACGGGGTTGGAGATGATGAGAACGTTGGCCTCGGGAGCGTGGTCAGCGACGGCCTTGGCGAGGTCGCGGACGATGGAGGCGTTGGTGTTGAACAAGTCTGTTGCATGATTAGTTGTGTCCAAAACATGCGCCGTTTCCATGCTCACCATCACGGGTCATGCCGGGCTTGCGGGGAACACCAGCGGGGATGACAACGATCTCAGCACCCTTGAGGGCGTCGGCGAGACCTGAGGGAGTGGCGTCATGGCCGATGACCTTGTCGTGTATCAGCAGATGGTTCGCGGATGAATTCGGAGCGTCTCTCGTACCTCGCTCTTGGTGTTGATGTGGCCAATGTCGGCAGCGACACCTGTATCACGTTTGTCAGGACTACAGCATCGCGTGTATAATTGACTGGAGCTTACCGGGAGCTAGACGGATGTCGTAGAGGGAGAGCTTGCTAACCCTGGGGTTGAGCTTGAGCAGCAGGGACAATGGCTGACCAATGCCACCAGCGGCACCGAGAACGGTGACCTTGGAGTTCTGCAGGATAAAAAGTCAGCATCTTGAGCTGCAATTGTCCCAATGGCATGGCCATCTCGCAGCGCGGCCAACCGCCCCACCAACAAAACAGTCGCGACTTCCGGGAATATGCATACCTGGCGGGCCGAGGCCGAGAAGCAGCGGCGCGAGCCCTGGAAGAAAGCTTGTCTGGCAGCGAACATGATGTCTGTGATTCGGGTGAGGAACGTGAGACTGGGTTGGACTGGATGAGAGGAGGTGGTGGTGTGGGAAAGCTGCGGGAGGTTTTGCGAATCTTGAACGTCAGTGCTTCTTCGGCTGGGCGTCGGAGCTACGGCTGACACCCGCTTTCACAAACACCTCACCCCTCCTGCCACCTTCCACCCTGAACTCTACCGCAATCGCATGCGCAATACCGAGAGTGCACTCATGATTGAGCATGCATTTCACTTTGTCATAACGCAGACATGAGGCCTCGTCGCTACGCCGTGGATTTTGAGGCCACCGAGGTATCGTCGCCCACAGCCACACTGTCACACCGTATGGCATCAAAGTGATTCCAGTGGCAGTCCATCGCGACTCCTCCGCAACGCTACACTTTGTAGACTGCATGCCTTACCATGCTGTCGAGCCAATAATGCGTCGCAGCGGTGAGTCAAGTACGCTAAGTTAGGGTTCCGTCGCGCTACCATCATACAAAGTGCCGACTTAAAGCCACACCTTGACTCACTGTGGCAGTGCATGTAGTGAATATATACCATGCATCGCGACGTACACACTTCTTTGATTCACCTTCATCAATCAATACTAGAACCATCGCTCACCGTGTGCGACTATCACAGATTCAAAAACGAAACAAATAGAGACCTTTCAAGACTTCCTCTTGAACGCCATGGCCCCTCCCGACCAAGACAAGTCATGTATTCCTGAACTCCAAGCAGCACTGGGCCCGCTGCTCCTCACACGTGCATCCCCATCAGATTTGTCGTCTCATTCCCCAGGCTCCTACACCATAGCACGCGGTTGTCCTGATAATATCCCTCCAAAGGAGCAAGTTCTACCTAAATGGACTGGCGCCTTCAAGCTCTTCGACTTTCCACGAGAGCTGCGAGATAGAATATATCACTACGTTGTCCATGTCCCAGGGGGAGTACATTACACGACGCAAACCAAGAGAGACCTTCAGGACAGGCCTAGCTCCGATATCGTGAACCTCCTCCTGGTTTCCAAGCAAGTCCACTATGAAGCGTCACAGATGTTTGGCAGGAGCAACACCGTTTGGCTATCCTCTTCATATAGTCCACGCGAAGGCTACCGCAAGCCACTTACCGGCCTACTTCGTCTGTTCCCTGATCCGGCAGCGGACGCATTGACGAGTGTGAGCCATGTATACCACGACACTATTGCCCGACCCCTTGGGATGTGGGGCATGGCGCCGAGCCATGACAGTATTGCTAGCGGAGGTGATGGTACAGGCCATTTTCACAAGCGTCAAAAGCCTGGAGAGACCTTCTGCGAGATTTTGAGGGATGCGCATGTCATCTCGCAACGTTTCCCAAAACTCAAGGTCTTCGACGCCGTTTGGTATGTCGGGCCTAGGTTCCACGAGTATCCCATACCAGAATGTGTTGTGCATAACATTGCAACTTTCCTGAAAAACTCCGGCAGCCGGGAGGAAGCAGTGAAGATGTGGTTAGATCTTATGCGACAATGGCTACAAAAGGGTAACGTGGTCCCACTGGGGTGCGTGTGGTTTAGCGTGCAAGGATATAGCACAGATGGGTTTGGGTCGGAAATGGATGAGGCGGCAAACGAGGCGTATCAGATACTGGTAAAGGAGTCAAAGGATCGGGAGGATATCGAGGCTAGTGGAAAGATGTGGTTGGAAGACATGGAAGAAGCGAGCAGGTGTAAAAGGAAAGGGAAGAGCGGAAAGAAGGCAATACAATGAGTGATTGTATTGAATACAAGGACATGACAGGGGGTCAGACTCCTTACCCAGGATTCATATGCAGCATGCTACCGAACAACTGGAACTGGTTCAGCACACTGTTTCACCAACATAGCCAAGCCCAGCGTAGTAGACCGCCACTGTGCTGCTGCTTGATTAGAACCATTTCTCAGTGTATTCGAGCAGACATTCGAGCCTTTGTGCAGTATTCCAGATGCGGTGTTGTTCCTGCAGTACCACTGACTGAGCAAGAAGGATGCAATGGAGAATGTCCCTCCATCGCTTCGATTACCCACTCGCGACGAATACTACCTAGTTACGTGTAGATGACATGTTCCTCACTTCACGTACGCTAGCGGGGAAGTCGGCACACTGATCTCGCAACAGAGTGAGGGGAGAGTCTTAACTCTTTGTACCTCACCATGGATAGGGCCTCTAGTAATAGGACCTGCTGCTTGAGGAATGCATGTTCCGGTCACTTGTGGCGCTGCTGCATATCTGCCCCATCTCTCTAGGCCACCTGAGCTCGCTAGTGGTCCTTATGTCACTCTGTCTCCGCTCAACAAAGCAGGCGCAGAAATGGCGGTCATCTGGGGGTCGTGTGCTGTTTAGTGCGGAGGGGGCCGGGGAAGTCGACTGTGGCTTCTGTGGGCGCAACTCCATTACAAGTACTCGAATCTGGGGATCTACTAGACGGAGTAAGTCCGAGGAATGTCCTGTTTCCCCGAAGTCATATCGAACGAAAGCCGTAGACCCCTATTTGCCTGGCGCTCGCGGATGGTTTTCCGTCGGGGAGAGCAAAAAGATCCCTTCGGGAAAGATCGTAAGCTAGAGACTAACATCGCCTAACGCTGTCTCGACCGACATCACTGTGCAGCGTCAGGCCCTACCATACACGCTTCTCCGCACGACAGTCTCTAACGGATCCGCCTGAACCGACAAACTTGACACATTTCCCAGCAGCGCTTTCGCGGGTCCACTTCCCATCCGGCGAACATTCTACCGCCAGCATAAGAACGCTCGTGCTCCCCGAGTTTCCCCAAAGAAAGCCGCGAGTCAATTTTCGACACATCTAGTCCATGCACGTTTGAGCTCAGACTACGAAAATTTCCCAGCGAATTGCGAATTCTTGACACACGAATCAAATCTTTTACCGCTTCTTTTACTCAACATCTCCCCATCATATGCGTCAAGTATATATGTAGACCCAACAGGCCTAGCGACAAAAACTTTCCACAGCGACAAACTTCCACAGCGACATCTTTTTCTTGATCATTGACACGCATCATTCCATAGCAACACTTCCTGAGCGACTTCCTTGCCCAGCAACCCTACTACCACAGCGACATTCCACAGCGACACATACTCCTTGCGACAAACCCAAACAACCTTTGCCAGAATAATCCACGCCCACGAAACATCATCAACAACAACCGCCATCATGTCCTCTACCCAAGCAACGCAACCATTCCGCTTTCTGGATCTACCTGGAGAGATTCGAAACAACATCTACGACCTTCTACTATGCTCCTGGGAAGATGAAGTCGAGCAAGACCCAAGCATGAGCAGCAAGCTGAGCCGACGCAGCCCAAGCAACCCTTCATCGTCACTTCTTCGCGCGAACAAGCAAATTTACGCAGAAGCGTCAGACTACATGATTAAGCGCAACCAATTCGTCCGCATCACCTGCCGAGGTCTGGACTCCCGGAACCTGTTTCTCGGCGAAGGTATCCCAGTAATCACAACCGATGCGCGCAAAGTGAGCCTTTTCGATGGCCACGTCATGCACATCACGCTTTCCAAGCCTGTGTTTGCGCCATCTCCATTCCAGTTCTCTGAATTCGAGATCATGATGCTGCGATCTGACTTGCCGAAGTTGTGCGAGCAGCTAGACATTGAGAGCGTAATGGCGGACGCGAACTCGACCACAAGCGAGCACGCCTCCATCAACGCAAGCATCAGGTTGAACTACGCGCACACTCGATTCTTCACCCCAAAGATCCAAGAGCGCCTGCTAGAGCCTATTGCGTCATCTCTCCGCGGTGTGCCCGATATCAAGATCTCTGGATTTGTCGATGCAGCCCTTGTGGATAGCGTGAGGAACCAGGTCGCACAGCCCCGCTGGACAGAGCCTGACGCGACAATTGAGGAGATCGGCACTGGTGTAGATGTCGGCAAGCGCCAGTGGCAGCAAAACAACTTTTACTCTGCTTCCGAATCATGGGCTTATGCGATGCGCACTCTCGAGCGCATGCGCCATAGCTCCTCCTGGACTGGTCTGCAGAAGGCTGGTGGGGAGGACTTTGTGAACAAGACCGCCGATCTCTACTTCACCCTGAACCTTTTCCACGCCCAGTTCCTGCAAGTGGACATGGCCAATGACCAATCTCAAGGACCTCTTGTGCAGCGAAACGGTCGCGTTGCGATCCAGCATCTGCGCAAGTGCGAGACCGCGGCTGCACGTTTTGCGCAGCACGCCGGCGCTACATGGACGCCGAGCAACCAGCAGTCGGCTAAAATGCTGTTCCGTCATGCGAGGTGCTTGAGGCTGATGCGTGACACCGCCAACAGCGTCAGAGCCGTCACCCTCATTGAGGAAGCTGCAGCGCTTGCACCCACAGACATTGCGATCCGAGATGAGAAGGACGCGGTGTTGGCGTGGGAGGCTGAGCTCGAAGAAGCGCGCCGCTTGCTAGCAGAGCAGAGTCAGGCATCGCACGTTGAGAGGAGGTCGATTTGGTCATCGGTCTGGGATGCAGTTACCGAGCTGACATCTTAAGCAAAAGTAGCATAGCGATCTTTCTAGTTTTGATACCCAATATTTATTTCACCAGCCGCTGAGCGATACGTCGCCAGCTGTAATTACTTCTATCAAGATTCCCCCAATATGCGTGTGTTTGATCATCGTTGATAACTGGAAAGCCTGCGCTGGATGTTGCATGAGTGCGTGTGGCAGCCAGGGAAGGGACGGACCGCTGCCGCTCCATTAACTTCAACAGCTGGAGTATGCATCGGCACTATGTGCCAAAAGCCGAGCGGCTGATGACCAGTCGCAGAAGTATAAGTAGTCTCTCGGTATTCGTTTCCTCTCCTTTTTGCTCAACACCTATCTTCTATATTCTCAAGATTCAAAACTAGATACAACATCCACATGTGGCGTGGAAGATCTGGAAATCAGCATTTGAAGTTCTTATATTGGACATGGCTCTTTGGTCGTTTACAAAAATGTTTCAAAATGCATTCACTATCGATCCATGATCGGACTCTGGACCTACTTTCAATTCGAAGAACTACGTGGAGGACCACTATGCCCTGATTACGGAAACGAGTACAAAAGCTTGTTTTTGCTGCGCTTGTCCTGTCGTCCGTATACAACAAAAGCGTTCTGATTTTCAGAAGACACTCGTGATTGCAGTATGGATCTGTTCCTTGAAACGATTACCTCATTTCCCATGCTTCTGTCGGAATGACAGCAACGCATATAGCATGGCGGATGTCTCGCTGTGTTCCTGATAGAGCTTCAAAAACAAACTGGGCGCTGATCCATGGTCTGGATCCGAGCGCAATATAAATTCGTCTCACCTCTTCGTCTTCCTTCAATCACAAACTTCACATGCATTCACGAAAATTATGAGGCCCTACATTCCATGTTGTGGTTTCTCCTGGCCAACGTATTCCAAAACATAACAGGAATGGTGACATGTTTGTAGGACAACCCACTACGCAAAGCAAAAGCATACCCCAAAGCCCATTTTCAGGATGATGTGTTACCGCAAAAACTTGGACGACCTAAACCATGTGAAAGGTTTCTTTGGTAGCTCGAACTAGTAGAGGTCAAGGCGCTGTGTGACGAACAGAAGGGAGCTTGTCATTGTCATATAGTGCGGTTATCATGTGGCCTAGAGGTGTTCACCGTATTGTGCCAGATTCACTCATGAGGTTGATGTTGCACAGACCTTGGAGGTACACTCGTGGTATATTACATATCAGCAACCAGGGGCTCTTCTCAAGACTGCATCTCCATACGTCTCAGTCCGCGCCTGATTGACAGCAATGAAGTCTTTTGAGATTCTTGCTCGTCGAACCATGCGCCTACTATTCGCGCGACGGAACGCGTCGTATTTAGGTTCTCATTATTCACTGTCTTATTCTCTTACATTCGATTGTTTGCGACTTTCCAAAACCAATGACAACACACGGATGGCGTGCTGTGGTCGGAGTTTCAAAAGTCATACCCTGTTGACGCATGATTGGACATACTTCTGGTCATCGGAAACATATCAACCTGAGTGCATGTTTCAAAAATATATGCAACTCTCTTTCTTGATTTTCTTCGTTAAATCGTTCATCGCTTTTGCATCCAGGCAGGCATCATCATCCAGACTTAAGCTTTTGCACCTTGTACCCTGTATGGACTCCCTGCTAGAGATTTCGAGGGTTACATCATTCCAAAACTCTCCCGCATGATGGCAATCGAGAAAAGTGTACCAAAACGCTCTACAAATGGAAAGATGAATGCGGCCATCGAAATGTTCAAACTGCTCATCAGGCTCTGGTAGAATGCGTCTCACTCTTCCTGCCCCCACCTCTCTTGTCACTTTGGCAACTGCGGAGTTCTTGATCTTCGACTTCACTGAGAGCATTGTCAACGGATTCAACGCACAAAATCAACACTACCCGCCCATAAGCCCATAATTCAAGATTCCTTTCTCGTACCTACTCCATAAAGAAGACGATGAACTCTTGGACGATTTGCCTGCTCATCATGACGGCCGCAACAGCACACGCCTCGCTTGTAACAAAAACGCGAGCAGTTGAGGGTGGCACGTGCCATGCAAGTGTGGCGAAGGAAACGGTGGCTCACATGGAGCAGTAGGCCTAGTACATGTTTTTTGGGGACCAACGGCGCCTCCTCCACTCCACTGTTCATGTTAGGTTACAGACTGCCCACACTGAACCAAAGTATGCTAAGCCTCTGGGTGGGAGACAAGAGTCTGGGT